TTTTTGGAGATATATGCTAGGGCTGTTGCTGATGAATAAGTGGATTGCATTATTTGTGGGATTTTCTTGATTAATGACGTGATTGCATAATTTGTGAGATTTTGCCGAAGAACAATATGATCGCATGAGATTTTGCTGATGAACAATTTGCTTGTACGATTTGTGAGATTTGCTCATGACTGATCTAATTAGGCAATTTGCTTATGAGGGCAAATTTTGTCTTTTCATTATGTTGTTTAGGACAAAATTGATATTTCATAAAAGATTACATATTTGCAATGAGGATTCATAGGGGTTCTCCTAGGAATGAATATTACCAAAATATGTGCAATCATTTTTACCAATGTAATCTCTTTTACCGTCAATAAGTCCAACCAAACAAGTCATATGTGGTAATGCAATAAGAATTATCATTGCATGTGTGCAATGGGATTGAACCAAACGGGCCCTAAATATGAAATCTAAAGTCATTTTGTCTCTAATATTTATCTGTTATGCTCCCAAGTAATCCCTTTGGTGATTATACATACTAAATAGTTTTTATTAATGGTTATTTTTAATTCATATAATTAACAAGAATATTTTAGACAAGATAACATCAATTTATTATAAATAACTAACTTAATTAATTTTCTTAATATCCTCAAATTAGTTATCTAACTCTTATATTAAGAATATGTAATATCAAATTACTAGGTTTGTTAGGAGTAATTTTGTCTTTTTTCAATCGCCATCTTTTCTCTCATGATGGCAAAAAAACTCCTCAACTTAGCTTCCGTGTTAGCGTGGCTTTACACCCAAAAGCTCATCTGAAAAAACGCCAAGCCAAACATTTGTTCGAGTCTCCAATTGCCAACAATATATGCGTTCACCTCATTTCAATGCACGTCTTCTATTGAAAATGTGAATCCAAACATGCGCTAACTTGTTTAAGCTGGCTTCAGAAAATCTACATATGTTTTAAACCAATGAAAACATATTGAAACAATTAGTATTGGATTAAAGCTCAAAAATACTTATTAACTTATGCCTAAAATTTACCAAGCACCATATACTTTTGTTGGGTATAAATCTACCTATGCAAATTCAAAATAATATCACTATTAAAATTCCCTAACGTTTGTCACTTTTAGTAGTGAGACCCACGATAATTTTTAACGAAAGTATCTAAATAATCCCTATTAGAAGAAAAATGGTTAAATGTCAAAAATACCCTTGAAGTTATATCAAAAGCTTGCCAAATACTATATACCTTTTAATAAAAGCGCCAAAATATCCCCAATCCCAAAGGACCATTGTATTAAAATGTGCTAGAGATTATTAATTATAATAAATTTTTATAATTAAAATAACTTGCGTGAAAAGTTTTAGCTTGAATTAAATTGGTCTTCAATGATAAGTTGTTTATACCTTTGATTCCTATTTTGTTGAGTAGATATTATAGGTATTTTTTGAAGTTGTTTGTATCAATAGTATATGAAGTAGTGTGTTTATCTATCAGTCCATGTTATTGAATTTAACAGTCAACTTGAAATTTTTTTTTTTTTAACGTTTATGTTCAATTCTTTGAGAGAATTTAAAGGCACTTTTGACAATGGAACCCACAATATTTGTAATAAAAATGCCCAAATACTCCCAATTAAAAAAAAAACCACCGGCTCTCTCCAACTCCTCGATCGATTTCAGTTCATCTCCCTCCTAAGCCAAAAAAAAAAATCCTTAACCCTTTGGTGCTCTAAATGCCAACTGTTGAACTCTTCATCATGTTGTATATGTATATTTACACGTAAAATATTAAATTATTCTTTAAATATTTGTTGGGGATGCTAATTTTAATTTTCGCTCCGACCACCAGCCTTCTACCCCTTATGCCTCGTCACTGCATTATCTTCTCATTTGCTGACCCTCTTTCGTTCAGAGTGTTTAAAATCAAACCAAAATACTCGTTTTAAGTTGCAATTAAGATCTCACATTGATCCTTCAAACGACAGTGAAGCAGTCCAACTCCTATCTAATACTAGTATTAATTTGGTAGTAATTATAAGATTCCAATCAAATTTGTCTTCAATATTTATTTGTTTTTTTTTAAAGTAGTCCCATGGTAATTATATATATTAAAAAGCTTCTATTCTAATGCACATAATTAATAAGGATATTTTTAAAAAAACAATACCCATTTATTATAATTATATATGTTATGACTGCTCAAAGATGAAAGTGTATGTCCAAATACGCGTCAATGAAACAAGAACATTTTTGGGTTTTTATTCCTATTTGAACTAGACAACGCTAAAATTTAACCCAATAATATTATTAGATACTTCATCCCGTTCTTGATATAAAAGCAAGATAAATACTTAAATAGTTTGCAGATATTAAAAAAATAAATTAAGATGGTTATTTATAACAAATTTGTACTAGTTTTCTTAAACTACCCTGTTTAATCATATCCATTAGAGCTATCTTTTAATTTGTTATCCCTTAAAATGTGCAATATAGATATACTTTGGCCAAAAATTTATAAACTTAGATTCAAATTCATGATAAATATATTTTAATAATACTTGAAAAATTAAAAATTTTTATTCCCAAATTTAATAATACCAATTCATTGATTAGTTTCTTTTTAATTTAGATACAAATTCTTTGAAAAGTCATAAAAATTGAAAACAGCACCATTTTTTGCCCATGAGATATCAAAATTTCACTTATTTTATATAAAATATAATAGTAAAAGAAATAAGAAAAAAATATTTGGGAAGTAGGGAAAATTGGGGTGCAATGGTAGTAGAGATGGCCAAATGGGACAACTGACACCCCAAATCAGTAACGTAGAGCGAGGTATTATATTAAAGACCAAAGTGAATCCCTTGTCTTGCTCCTATATTTAGGATCGGAAGTAGTATTATATTAAAAAAAGAAAAATAAAGTATACTGTATGTATCACATCATGATGAATCAAACCAAATCTCCTCTATAAGAAAAGTAGAAGGTGAATAAAATATTCTACAACCCTAATGAATGACAGGGCCGGCTTCCTCATTTTATAATAGCTTGTACAGTATTCTAGAATATTTATAAATGAAAGAATAAATAATAAATGGCCACGTATAGAGCTACACTGCTGTGCACAACTATATATAATTACTATTTAGTCCTAGACTTTAACATAATTAATTGTGAGTATTGTTATATTGTCTTTTGCACATTACCAACGATTAACATTCATGTTTAATTAGCTGAAGAGATATTCCTTTGAAATGCAATACTAATAAAGAACAATAAACTCTTCACGAGTCGGAACAGTTTATATATATATATATATATATATAAACAAGTCAAAATCGAGTGTTGTATATATATGTTGATATGTTGGAAGGAAATGACGTATATTATTTGAAATGATACATTATATTTAAACTTAATGATTTAATCCCTTTTTAATTGACACACACACACGCACACGCATATATTAATCACCTATGAAAAATAAATCTAGCTATTCTAACCTTTTTTTTCTGGGGACCAATGTCATGGTCACAGAAGAATTGGGCCAGGATAGGAAGCCCAATGAGGAGCCCAGGAAGGAAGAACCAATGCTAAGAGGAAGAGGCAGCAAAAAGGTGTTGAGATGCCATATAAAAAGACAAGATGTCATCAGGGGAGGGTGTGAAATGAATTATGTGTAGTCTTCCCGCCTCCTTGAGTCTCTCTTCTCCCTGGCCAGCTGCACTATCTCAGTGACTGGATCTTCTATTCTCTCCTGCTACTCTCATTCTATATTTCTTAATCTCCATTGAATCAGAGTTATGTTATTTTCCTTTAATATTGTTAACTCTGTCAAATGTATTGAGCTTAGAATTTCTATTATAAACGGTTCATTATTATTGATTTGAGTTATATTATCTGGGGATCATTTGTGTGATTGTTACAACCAACAGAGTCACTTTCAGCACAAACATATATCCACTTGTATCTGTATAAAAAGTAAGAAATGTATTTCTTTATTAAAATAAGTTCGTTATTTAATAATTTGATACACTTACATACGTACGTACATATATATATATATATATATATAAGGAAAATGTATAACATTCATTTTTAACTTTATATAAGGTTTTATTTTGATTTCTTAAATTAAAAAAATATTTTCAGTCATCTAATCTCAATATTGTCATTTTTATAGCAATCGTTGTTATTAAATCTCTACGTCGATGATTAAACCTTGCAAAACAGTACAAGAGAAGTAAAAAAATTGGCATTATAAAGAAATTGAATAAAAGACGAGGGATTTTAAATATTTCCTCGAACATGAAGGAAAATGCTTGCTGATATGGATCAGAGAGAATTCTGAGCCTTCACTGTTTTGTCCCTTTTGTGTTAGGGCTCGTTTGCTATGGATATTACGCTCTAGCTTGCACATACGAGAGGCAATTACCTACTGGGATCTATTGAGCAAAGGTCAAGTTTCTTACCCTCATTTGTGCTAAGACCACACCCAAATACAGTTTGTGAGGATATTCGATGATCAAAGGTTATTCCAGGATAGGATTGTGTGGGTTTTTCTTTTTCTTTGTTGTCCTTGTTTTTTCGGCAACGTCTGGCCTTCTTATTTGTAAACTTTTAATACTTTTTTTAAAATATAATATTTTATCTTTTATTTTAAAAAAAGAATGTGTGTTGATAAAGCCATCAAGTTCATAAAGGTGTCATGACGAATATTAAAACCTCTTCAAAAAGTCTACAGTATGAGGAGATCAATTATTATTACTAGCGGTAGATATCCTAGGCTCAACCAAAAAGAAAAAAGCCATCGAGTTCACACCTAATAATTATCGGCCTTGACTTTATTTTTTATCATTATTTTTATTTATTTAACATATTTTAATTATATAATATATTGGATGAACAATATCTCCACACCAAACGACCCTCCCTAGTTGTACTATAAATATTGGAGCTCATAGTATGTGGTTTGCATCAACAAAAGTTCAACAATGTCCTCTAAACACTTTCTAGTTCTCCTTTTTGGATTGATGTTTCTCATTACTTCTAGCTTTGCTCATTATTGCAAGCCTCCCACTTGTAAGCTTCATGTTGAAAAATTACTGTCAAAGAATGAGCACTTTCCTCCTGAGACCGAACCCATTAAGGACGAATCCATTAGGGACCTACCCATTGAGGATGACCCCTTTGAGGACGACCCCGAGGACGAACCGATAAATGGTTGTCCTATTCTTGATGGTCTCATTCACAATGGGCCACCATTGCACAAGCTTCAAGTTGAAAAACCACTTGTTTACAAGCCTTCAGTTGAGGAATCACCTCTGGAGAAACCACCGAGTTTTATGCCCCAACCTTATGGTCACTGGCCTCGTTTATCAAACACAAATTGAGTATCCTATGATTTTAAGTATACCTTAATACATAAAAGTAAGAGAGTGCATGAGTTTTTCGTAGTTTATAATCAGTGCATTTATTAATATTTGACTAGTCCTGTTTTACCTTTGTGTCTAATTAATGTGTTTAGTTGTATGGCTATATATAGGCATGTTCCATTCTCCTCGTCTGAGACATTGATGATATATAATAAATCAATTCATTACAGCCAGTTTCAATTGTGTGTTCATAAAAGAGTACAAATTCAGCTTAATAAAACACAAAGAACCCAAAAAAATTTTACTACTCCGTCTCTTATTATAAAATCATTTTAACTAAATTGTACAGTTTAATAAAACAGTTAAAATTAGTTAAAAGCAATTAATAGGTAGCAAATATAATTTTTTTTTCAAATATACCCTTATATATGAATGGGTAGACGTGAAAGAGTAATAGTGAGATGAATGTATTAAATGCATTAAACCAGGGGTAAAATAAGTAATAATGTATTAAATGTTCAGACAAACTCAAAAATGATCTTATAAAAAAGGACAAACTTATTCAAAAAATTAGATCTTATAATAAGGGACGGAGGAAGTACATTTTATTGATCCAAATCTATGCCAACATTTCTAATGCAATAGAAAAAAATATAAAAATAATAAAGTTTTCAATTTAAAAAGGCAAACACCCACCGCAACGCCATCCTTTTTTTTTTTTCCTTTCCGATCATACTCGGGGATCTACTTCTTTTTGCCTACAAACAAACAGTGGAAGAAGATGTGTGACATCCATCATTTTAACACTTTATTACGTATTTAAAAGTGCTATAATTCGGATAAATTATTAACTAAAATTCAAAAGTGAAAATTTTCATTTTAATCCTTAAGTTACCATTCACTTGACATTATCATATTTTTTGTCAACTTTAAAACTGTATGTGGATGCTCTAAAATTCTATTGAAATTCCTTGAAGTCTTTTGAACTTAAAGAAATTAGTGAGTGCCTAACCTTATAACATTTTTTTCAACATTCGCAACGTAATTGGTAACTCTTTTAAAAACCCATAAGGTTAAGCGCTTATTTATTTCTTTAAGTTTAAAAACTTATCATATAAAATGATTAATGCCATTAATAGAGTTGCAATTATCATTATAATAGATGTTATTCACACTGCAAACGTTAAAAAAATCCCAATTTAAAAACGTAAAAAGCACGTGATGCCTTATTGGAGTTGTGGCTCTTACAAGAATTGTTAATCACTTTATGTATGTTGAAAAAGATCTTTAAAAAAAAAAAAAAAGTTGTTGCCACTGATTGTTAGCCAGCCATGGGAGCTCCGATGCCGGCGGCCTATCAAAGCTTTGGTGCCAATTGCCAATGGTTGTCAGCGTTCAGCTCAAGCGGCCGGTGGGTTGATAAGGGTGACTTGAGAATTTAAGAAAATAATAATAAATAAATAGCAACATTGTAAATTCATCCACATTTTAAATTTCTAAATTAGCACTACCAGAAAAAAGGCTTTTCACGACGGTTAAAAGTGGCTTTTCATGGTGGTTTTGAAGGCGAAGTTGATAAAGACGATGTTGAAAGGTAAAGAAAACACAGCGGTTATACAGAAAACCGCCGTGGAATATTCTTTGAACGGCGGTTATATATATAACCGCCATTAAAAAATAATTTTTTTAAAAAAATTCTACTTGATTTTCATTTTTACCACCCTACAGTTTACAGTTCCAAATAAATGTAGGTAGTGCAGATCACGCAGAACAAGATCAATTTAGCTAGTTGATATATATATAGCATTGAAATTTCTTTTACACAATTTGAAAATAGGGAACCAGCCAATATAATAGAACTAGGTGGTTAATTAAGACCAAGGAACACGTATTGGTTAGGTCCAACAATTCTGAAATAGAAGTAACTACTTCTCTGTACAATGGAAATCATGAACATGTACATATAAGAGGGAACTGAGAGAAAACATCTAACAATGAATTTTTTGAGAAATAACCTATCTATTTGAAAGCTAAATTTCAATTTTTTCTACCAATGTTGTTGACAAAGTGTCCCTCATCAAGTTGATGTCATCCATGAGATATGGCGTAGTATTTTGAAATATCTGTTAATAAAAAATAACATAGTAAACTTAGTCAAAAATATGAAATGAATTGAAGAACGTCATGCAACGTAACTCATCTTTACCTCGTCTAATTTCTCAGTCGTTCCTGTCTCAATTATGTCATTCATGTAGCGAATGACATAATATCCACACTCAACATGTCCTTGTTGACAACGGTACTAAAAAAATAAGATATAAAATTTAAATATTAGACATTATTGATTATAAACATTAACTTTAATTCATCCAAAAATGTTTAAAAGTTAGTTCAAAACAACATATACCTTTGGAAGAATCCATTTTGGTGCTTGTCTATTTTGTTTAATCGCCACAACATTAAAAGTATGAAAAGCCCTATCAACATTATAAGAGAAAATGATATTAGAGCATGCTTGTAGAAACTTCACAAGTAATAAATATATAAATAAAAACTAACGTGTCGATGACATCTTTGGTTTCTTCTGATGGACTTCCACAGAGTGAATCGAACGAGTAAACTTTGTTGTCAAAAGGGGCACAAATAATTAGAGTCCAATGATAATTGCAAAAGGCAAACCATGTTAATTATAACCCGACACATACAGCTTGTATATCTCAAATACAATAATACACTTACCCTTCCACGTAAGGTGCAAAATATATTAGCTTTCTGGTCTGAGTCATTGTGGTCATAATGTAGATTGACCTTGCTTCCACAGTATTAAATTCTTTCTGCACCCTTTGAGGACACATAAAGCCATATGTTCCTTCAAGTCCTCCGTTTCGACAAATTTGATTAAAGTGCCTGTTGTTCAAGTAAAAAACATTAGGACATGCATGAAGTATAATATGTAATAAAAAAATGATATTGTAACTTACAAAATAGCGAGCTGCATGAAAGCTATATCAAGCTCCTCAAAGTTGAGGAACTGAACGAGGTCCCTCTTGTCAATGGTGAAGTCGTATGTTATATCTGAACCCACAACCCCAACGGCATCTTGAAAGTCACAGGCTTATCCATGTTTGGCACCATGGAATGAAGAACCTCCAAACTGGAATACATAAGCGCAACATCACTAGGAAGAGGCAAGAGTACAAGATCAGATGATGCGCTCGTTGTGGCCTTCTTTGCTGCCACCTTCTTCACCATTGGCTTTGCAATAAGTCTCTTTAGCCACAAAATGAAATGTCCTTTAGCTTGGGCCAAGAGTCGAACCTCATCAGTAGGATTGGGCATTGGTGTACCCCCCTGACCATGAACAATCCTCTCCACTGTCACCTTTGCTTGATTGCTCGGAATTTTGTTGCCGTGAATCGTTGTGCCCATGAATGCTCGACCACTAGCAACATGAACAGATGAATTTTCATAATCCACATAGAGAGAACACAGCATCCCATTGTCTTCGACAGGGTCAGGGCTAGGGTCAGGGTCAGACAATGTCAGTGGCTGTGTCTGATTATTACTGCCCTTCTCGCTTTTTATCACAGGTGAACCCTGAAACATAATATGAAATTAGTTAAGAAACATTAAATAAGTTTAAATGGATCAAATGAATCTTTAGAAGATTTAAAAAGATGTGTGATTATTACCTGGGAAGGTTCAGATACTCGGGGCATCTGGAATCCACTCATACCCATCATCATCAGAGTCTGTTGAAACTTGGCATCGAATTCGTCACGTATCTTTTGCATCTCTACCATGTGTTGTTGACTTAGTTCAGCTCGAACTCTCTCTGTTTCTTCCTGTAGTCGTTGGTCGAGCTCCTCTTTAGATACCATGTTAGCAGAGAATGATCTAGTGCTTCTTCGTGAAACAGAGCCAAAAAATTCTTTAATACCAATCCCTTTAGGGGTCCCTCGGACTCTTCCGGGATGGTCAGCCTTTCCAATAGCAGTGGCCAAGATATCCATCCGTCCTTGAGGGATGAATGTACCTTGAGATAATTGCTCCTCAAGTGTATCCTATATCATTAAAACAACAAATTCAATTTAAGATAATTGAAAAAAACAATTAATGAAGCATAATTCTTAAATATTACTTACAATCCTCTCAGCAACAGCAGCAGACTGTGGAGTAATGTATTGACCCTTTTTAATCCTCGCCGCCTTCCATTTTTCTTGGCGAGAAGGACGCTCAATAGATGGCATGTAGCCAGTAGGATCTGAAGCAGCAGCCATCTATGCATTCTTTAGTCGTTTCTCCATCATACTTCTTTCCAACCCACCATACCCTGCACGAGACATGGTATGTGGGTATACATTTTGCTCAGATATTTGTTTGTTCTTCTAACTCAATGCCTATGACAATGAAACCAAATCGACAAAATTAGTTTAGTTAAATAAAATATGACTTGATTAAAAATTAAGTTTGAAGAAACCAAACCTGAAATGCAGGGTCTTCACGTTGCTTCACAAAATTCTCCCATGCCTCTTCACTAATAAATGAATATCGTTCCTTAAGATGCTCACCCTTTCTTTTTCCATTAATATAATTTGTTGTAAGCATGGACTTAAAATCCCTCCACCGTTCAGCAATTTGCTTCAACAGACGGTCTCTCATTTGTTTAGTGGCAGGAATATCAAATGTCAGCTGCATGCAATACAATAATAGCATAGAGTTATAAAGTAAATAAGCAACTATAATTGAAACAAGTAGAGAAAACAATGCACAATATACCAATATATCCTCCTAAAGGTTTTTCTTCAAATCTTTGTCCACCTTCTTCCAGTTAGGAATGTCAATGCTAATCTTACTACGTGCGAGATAACCCACATAACTAGTAAATTGAGCCCCATCCTTTCCTATAGGCTTCAGATCATCATCAAACTCTACTGTAATCCTCATAGGCTGTGTGCTCTCATCACGTAAAGCTAAATGCCTCATATGGGTTGGCCCTCTACCCTTTCTCCGGCTAG